TTGGTAGTTTTTGACCAGGGCTGGGTTTGAGCCTTCCACCTCTGGTATATGGAGCTGGCACCCTACTCCTTGAGCCACAGGTGTTGCCCCCTAATGTCTATTCAGTGCCAGGTTCATGAGAAAATTTCTGGCTTGGCTAGTTACATTTGGGGGTCTTTGCCATCACCCTGTGAGCACAGAGGAAGTTCATCAGCTAGAAATCCCCAAGTAATGGGGATGCAGAGAGAAGGAAGACCTGGAAACAAACAAATGGCAACATAGTATATTAAGTGCAGCAATAGAAATGCATGGGACAATGTTCCAAAACAGCAGTCTCTAAGTTTTTTGGCACCAGAGACTGGTTTCCTGGAAGACAATTTTTTTATGGACTAGGGGGCATGTTCTTTTTTTCTTTTGGGGAGAGTGGGGCATGGTTTTGACAAGAGTCTGCAATCAGTTGATTTATTATGGGTTCTATGCAGTCAGACCTCTCTGCCAATCATAATTTGTATGTGCAGCCACTCCCCAGCACTGGCATCACTGCCTCAGCTCCCCCTCAGGTCATCACACGTTAGATTCTCACAAGGAACACCCAACCTGGATCTCCCACATGTACAGCTTACAACAGGGTTTGCGCTCCTGTGAGGTCCTATGAGAATGTCATGTCACCTCTAATCTGACCGCTAAGGCAGTGATGCAGACTGGGCAGCGGCTGTCAATACAGATGAAGCTTTGCTCCCTCATCACTCCTCACCTCCAGTGTGTAGTTCCTAACAGTTTCAAGAGGTACCTGCATTCAAAGCCTGTGACTTAGAGCAAGTTATTGATCTCTGCCTCAGTTTTCCCATTTGTAAAATAGGAATGTTAAGAGTATCTACCTCATAGAATTACCGTGAAAGTTAAATGAGTCAGTATCTAAACAGCACATGGAACACCATGTGACGCACATGTACCTCATCAGTGTGACTTATATGCATATTGAGGTGGCACAGACAATGAAACAACTAGTTGCATTTTGGGGGAATCAGGAAAACTTAGAGAATTGGTATCCAGGCTCGGCACCTGTGGCTCAAGCAGCTAAGGTACCGACCACATACACCTGAGCTGGCGGGTTCGAATCCAGCCCGGGCCCGCCAAAAACAACGACGACGGCTGCAACCAAAAAATAGCCAGGAGTTGTGGCAGGTACCTGTAGTCCCAGCTACTTGGGAGGCGGAAGCAGGAGAATCGCTTGAGCCCAGGAGTTGGAGGTTGCTGTGAGCTGTGATAACATGGCACTCTACCCAGGGTGACAGCTTAAGGCTCTGTCACAAAAAAGAGAGAGAGAATTGGTATCCAGACTGTTTGTTCAGCAAGAGTCAAAGAGGAGAAAATATGGAAAGAACAAGCACAAGAGAGTTAGAGTAGCCTTACTTCACAAGGTGATGTGAGAGATCACTCTCCCGGCACTCCCTTCCACGTACTTGCAGATACAGTGCAATTGTAAAGGATTTCTTAGACAAACTGAGGCCATTCCCAGTCTGATAGAAGAACTTGGGGTGAGGTTAATCTCATCCTGGGTCTGAGTGAGGAGCTTGGCAGGGCTAACCTCCTTCAGCTGTGCACAAATTACCCCCTAGTTTGCAGCAGGCTTTTTCACTTTGATTCATCCCTGAACACATCTTCTTAACATGGTCCAATTACAGCAACAGTCAAAACCAGCCTTAGAGACTTCCGTGTTAGAGGTCTGAGGTCCCACTCACTCAGTCCACCACTGCAGACTCTAAT